ATCTTCTCTCTCTCTCTCTCTCTCTCTCTCTCTCTCTCTCTCACTTGCTCCCTTGCTGTCCCACATTGTTCTTCATCTCCTTTTCTGTTCCTGTTCTAGCCCTAATTCATATTTGTTCTTTAATTTTTCTTTCTCTTGCCTGTGTCCTCTGGCCTCACTGCTAACCTTCCCCTATCCTTCTACCTATCTATCCCTCCCTCCCCAACTCCTTCTAACTCCCCATCCTGAAGGGGAAAGTTGCTATATTGAAGAGTTTATTCACTATAAACATATGTTGGGTTGGTCCTCGATTCTGATTTAATTCACACAGTTAAAAGTGATAGATTAATAACTACCACAAATTGTCATTTTCTAAGATGTATCTGATGCTATGGTGTTGCTGATTGTATCACATGGGCTAAGGTGTTGTGATTGATCTAATCAGTTGTTCTTCCTGGTATAATGAAAATGAGACAGCCTTAGAGCCATTAGAGACTCAAAACCTAAAGACCAACTATATCTGGAAGACACCTCTGAGAAACAACCATTCCATAAGTGTTTTAACTACAAGCAACAAAGATACTTACAATAAGCAACTTTGGAGTATCAACCCAGGAAATAAACCATGGACAATACCAAAAACAAAAATGAGAAGACATTTGAGCAAGGAAAAAACTCAGACTTCCACCCCACAAAAAGCAAATTCTGGGGGAAATGAGAAGGAAAAGTCTGATAATGAACCAGCTGGACACCCTGAACTGATAGCACAGGAAGTAACAAAACAGATGAATGAGGCTCTAGAAAAATTCAAAGCAGAAATAATCTCCCAGGTATCTACAGAGATGGTGAGCAGAGTGAAAGACATGATTAGAGGCTCTAGAACAGAGGCAGATAAAAAAATAGATGAGCACAGAAACATGCGGGAAGCCATGAATACCCAGTATAAGAAAGAAATGGAAACCATGATCACCCAGCATAAGAAAGAAATGGAACCCATGAAACAAGATTCAAACAGATATCCAGGAGATTAAAACCTCCACTGAAAGTATGCACAGCAGATTAAGGGAATGTGAAGATAGAATATCAGATATAGAAGACAGGATTGCGGTTAATGACCATGAAAACAGAGATTTCTTAAAAATAGTAAGAGACCACGAGAAATCAATCCAGCAGCTGCTAGATGATGCAAGGAAGAATAACATAAGACTGATAGAAGTCCACGAAAAAACAGGAGAAAGTACAACTGACATTAAAAAACTGTTCACAGCAGTAATAGTAGAAAACTTCCCAGACAGAGGTAGAGAATTGGACATACAGATAAGTGAGGCACATAGAACTCCAACAAGCCATGATCAAAAAAAATCTACACCTAGACATATAATAATCAAGATCCCAGAAACCCAACAGAAGAACA